GCCAAAGTTGGACGCTTAACTGACTGAGCCACCCAGGAGCCCCTCAACGTATTATATATATAATTACACAGTATATGGATATATCTGTAGAGCTTGACTCCAAATTAATAAAAGTCCGTAGAAAGCAGCTTGTTGTAAAGTGATAAGAAGCAGATTTAAGGCAGGGAAATGCCACTAACCTACTATGTTTTGAAACCCTAAGACCATCACAGCAGATCAAGGATGAAGTTAATGATTGGGCAGTGTGAATCTAGGACTGTTGGGAGGGTGCTCATCTAGCTAAATAAGAGGTTTGATCTCAACCTTTTGAGCAGCCCCTTGGTTTCACAAATGAAGAAACTTAACACCTGGAGTAATTAACAAAACTTCTAAAGCTTCTATACTCAGTGTGTGGTCCCAGGACCTGCAGCAGCATTGGAATCACCTGGGACCTTGCTACAAATACAGAATCTTAGGCCCCGCCCCAGATCTACTGAAACAGAATCTGCATTTTAACAAAAGATCTAGAGGCTTGCTATTACCTTTTGAGAAACGATAGCCTAAAGGCCAGTGAGCAGGGCACCCAGGGGGTCCTGACTCTGCTTCCATTGAATTCCTCTGTTTTGCTGCTTTAATTGACTTGGCGGGCACATCACTTCCTTTGCTCTTTAAGTTTAGTCTTAAGAGAGGTCCGGGAAAATTACCCCACCCCGCCAATGCCATCTTAAAATCCTGACAGGCCAGAACGAAGTGAGATTTGGGCTGTCACAGAACGTTTTCCAGCTTCTCTGGTGACACTTGAGATCCCTGGGTTCTTTCCTTCCCCACGTGCCTGCATTCTGTAAGCCAACGCACAAAGTTTGGGCTGAGCCAATGAGGGTGGAGCTTGAGGCGAGCGTGCGGCGTCTGTCGGTTGCCTAGCGACGGCGTCCACGCTAGCCCTCTGTAAATCAAGTCAGCTACTGTTCGCAGGCTACCTACAAGGCCGCCATGGAGACTGAGAGGGGCTCCTTCATCTCCCGGGACGTGGAGACCCCAAAGAAGGAGGTGCAGCTGCGGGTGACCCCTTCGGAGGTGAAGTTCCTGGACACGCTGGCCGGGAGGGTGTACCGCCTGCCGGTTACCGTACACAACCTCGGCCGTTGCAACCAGAAAATCCGGTTTCAGGAACCACTCAAGCCACAGGTAACACCCTCGGGGGTGCAGGAGCAGGACCTCCTGAGCGTCAGGGCTCTGAGACCGCCTCCCCACCTGGGCGCCTGCTTTGTCCCGGAGAGTAGACGCCGGCTTCTGCGGGAGTGTGGCGGGGTGGGGGTGGGGGGGGGGGG